CTAGACACAGGAGAACTATTGTCGTGAAAGTGTTGTACAATCGATTACGAATTTAGATTGCAGAGAGTTTGTTCTGAGCGCTAAAAGCACTCACGATAGAGCACATTTTGCTTTATTCTAACAATTCTCTCTACGTCACCTGATATGCTGCAAGTTCAATCTGTTTATCCGTTCACCTTCCACTGTAGTCGGTACTTTGATTAGTATCCAACTTTGGCTCTTGCTTGAATCTTGCTTTCTTAGGCCAAAACCATAGTGACCGGGGAAAAGGAAAAACTACCCCTTTTTCCCGTATCAAATGCAAAAGTTTGAATCCATAGTGTCGGGAAAACACCATAAATGGAAAAACATATTTTCCCCACACCCTAATTGAAGGGAAAAACGTATTCTTTTCCCTGCGGGAAATGTCTCTCGGAAAGTTGTTACGCCACTATCTACGACAGTCATTGTCCAATCAAATCACGACGATCCATTGAATGGAAAAGACTCCAATTGCAAATCACTCCAATGCAAACCATTCCAACTGCTTGGCGGCATGACAAGTCACCAACATCATGCTTGTCATATAAATCTATAGATCCCTACTATTGAAGCATGCAAGTAGAAGAATTTGGTTCCCTAGGCGATGAGAACGAGGACGTTGCTTTCCTCTTTGACGTGAATCTATGGAAGATTCTGATGATCTTGACGCACGTGTCTTCCTCGGCATGAACCCCAATGATCCTTTTGATTTATTTGATGAAAGTGGTGCCATTGACGAAAATGGGCGCCGCCGAAGACAAACTCCCAGAGGACGAGAAGAGAAGCGAGACCCCAGTACCTCCTACTTTGGGAAAATCCTGGAGAAAGCAGATCTCAACGCTCAAACGAAAGGCTCTGTTTGGGATGAAGAAAACAGGCATGGCAAAACATTCCGCCGAAGATATCATCTCCCGTACGTACTTTTTGACAAGATCTGTCAGGAATACGACAAAGTTGACACACGAAGGGAGGTAGATGCATTCAATCGTCCCAAAAGCGACTCAAGAATGCTAATCATGGGAGTTCTGCGGTATCTTGGGCAAGTCATACCGTTTGACTCCCTAGAGGAACTCTCAGACATTAGTGGACAGAAGCATCAGAACTATTTTCATGAGTTCATCACTTGGTTTAGTGATCCCAGCAAATGTCCACTTGCCAAAGAATATTTGAAGATGCCTGAATCTGACGAGGAGATCGCACATGTTACTGGGAACTACAAGAGGAAGGGCGTCCCTGGCACTGGAGGAAGTGTTGACTGTGTTCACGCTTCTTGGGACATGTGCCCAGCTGGTATCCGAACCGACTGTAAAGGAAAGGAGAAGTACAACACTGTGGTTTTTCAAGTTATCTCTTCTCATACCAAGAAAGTCCTTGGTGTTTCCGGCCCATACTTTGGAACATGGAATGACAAAACAATAGCCCGGCTTGACGAAAATTTAAGAGCTCTCATGCCTGATGGTCACCTATCTACCCAGAAATGGTGCTGGGTGGATAGTGACGGCAATGAGCATGAGGAAGAGGGTCTTCATCTTATTTGTGACGGTGGCTACCACCAATGGAAGATTCTCATGTGTCCATTCAAG